GTAAAAAAAAAATTTTTCCAGTTTTAGTAAATAAAATTATTCCATAATTTTTTCGCTTACTGTTATATATCAAAGCTCATAGATCTTTCAACAATACTATTTTTTAATTTTTTTTCAAAATGACAAATAAAATACAACTATGGAAATTATGATATCACTCAATGATGTTACTAGGAAATACCAGTCATCCGTATTACCGTAATAATAATAATTGTAGACCTCAAACGCGGTAGCGTCAATGCTCTACCAACTCTCGCTGCATCAGGAAAAGCAGGCTAAACTCTATGAAGAAATTAAAAATCTTCTACCGTATAAATCCACGCAAATATCTCACGAGAAATTAGACCAAATGGATTACCTGAAAGCGTGTGTTAAAGAAACTATGAGGTACACGAACCACAAGACAAAACTTTTTGCTCATTATTGCGGTTTTTAGAATGTATCCGGTGGTGATTGGTAATGGCAGATGTACAACAAGAGATCGGGTAATTGGAGGTTATCAGATACCAAAAGGCGTAATTATCTTGATGAGCAATTAGGAGTGTCGTCAACAATAGTCTTTGTAGGTACAAGTGATATTTCAACACTGCGTCATTAGCAATCTAGAGGAATACTTTCCACGAAGTGGTGAGTTTCTCCCAGAAAGGTGGCTAAAAAACTCAGAACTATTTCGCAACCATCATCCATTCGCATCGTTACCATTTGGGTTTGGCAAAAGGATGTGTCTAGGACGGAGGTTTGCGGATTTAGAAATACAAACAGTCATAGCCAAGGTAAGCCAACACACAAAATGTGAATTTATTGTTTGACTTTTTCAGATTGTGCGTAATTTCAAAATCGAATACCATCACGGCAAGCTTGATTACCATATTCATCCCATGTACACTCCTAATGGACCTTTAAGATTGACGTTCATTCGCCGACAGTAAAGTTCACGAAGATCATTATTGTTACTTTTTGCCAATAAAATTCATTTTCACCTTACACGACTACGTGCTTCCTTAATTACCCCGGTTATTTATATGCATATTTTGACCCGTATAGCGGAAACTTTAATTCACATAGAGAGAAGTAAATGTTTTAAATACTTTTCGATTATTTATTGATATTATTGCGAATTACTGAAATTGAGGTATTAAACGCAACTTCAGGGTCATTTAGCAGTTATTAGAATAATTATCGGAAATTATACACACTCTTGAAATAATTTGTAGGCCAAGGTTACTATAATCGTCTAGGGTATAGGTTCATTGAAAACGGGTTTTTCGAAATACCAATACCAGATGAGTGTTTTTTAAATTTTGCAACATGCAGATATGCCTAAATCGACTCTTAAGAAACTAAATTTTGCCCTCAGCTTTTTCAATAATTGTCCACAATCGCTTTGTTTTTATTAAATTATTTATTACGCAATAAATATTTAAAATTTTATTGAATTAATGCAGCTAATAAAAAGAGTATTGTACGACAGTTATGTAAAAATTAGTAGTATATAGGAAATAGTCGTAACTGCATTGAATTCTTATAATAAATAACTAAGTACAAGAACATACATGTTTTTTATTTTATTTTATTACTTAATCATTATTCTTTGCATCACCTTTTGACCTCGTCATTGCATCTGGTCTTCTTTTTTTTTCCTTTTCCTTTCTTTCTGTTTCTTTTAATTCTCAGCTATTTTGAGTGAAACATTGCAATCACATCAAAAAATAATTCTAATTTGTCAAATAAACCATAGTTCATTTCTGAGTTTCTTGCCGGTAAATTACAAAAGAACCTAAACACTTTATTTTTACTCTTGCGTGTGTACGAGCGAGCTCATCACTACATTTTTTTAAAAAATTTTTAGTGTTATTTTTATAAAACATTGTAATTTGCAATTTGTCGAAGTATTAAAAAAACATTAAGTATTTCTTATTTCACTAAAATAAACACGAAATTTATTTCAAAAATTTCATTTTATTTTCTTATAAATAAATATTTTCACACAGTGTGCGTGTAGAACTGGGATAAAGAGTAACTTTTGTAATAATTTATTAAAAGTGGTGCAAAAGCCAGTTTTTATTCTTCTCGTTTGATAACTTTAAAACGTAATGCCCCATCCGGTGCGTACATAAAAGTGACTTTATATTCCAACGGTTCGTGGTGGTACTCCAGCTTGTATGACCTTATCAGCTATAAGATTTTTATTAGAATGATGTGGAAAAATCATTACTAGTACCTTAGCTAAAAGGACCTGGATTTCGAGATCAGCAAATCGTCTTCCTAAACACATCCTCGCTCCATATCCATAAGGTAACGACGCAAATGGGTGAATTTTATAATCACTCGCTGATTTTTTCATCCAACGTTCCGGAATAAATTCATTAGGCTGACTCACAAATTCCTCCATACTTCCGGTTATAAGAGTAGGAAAAACCACTTGTACTCCTTTTGGAATTTTATATCCGTGTATTATGGTATCTTGCTGTAAAGTCCTTCCGTTTCCTATCACTGTCGAATAAACTCTACAAGTTTTCACTTATTAAATATTTCTAGTCTTTCCCAATAAAGTACCTCAAAACCTCTTTGACAAAAGCTTTCAAAAAGTCCATTTGGTCCAATAATTTTGTGTTCAAGGGAGTGTTAGGGTCTGGCATAATTCGTTTTAATTCCTGATACATTTTTTCTTGCTGTTCTGGTCTTGTTGCAAGCTGATAAAGAATAGAACAAACGGCCATTGAAATCTGTAAATTTACAAAACAAAGGTAGTATTACTTAACTCGAGCTATTCAAATTTTATTTGTTTTCATTGCAAAACTCACAGTGTCAATTCCTACTAAAATTAAATCCAAGGCTAGAATATATGCAGTTTTTGGGTCGGGTTCATTGGCCAAAATTCTCTCAACTAAAGAAAGGTCTTTTTCGTCGAGAACTGTTTTCGATTTCAATCGTTCCATTGCTGCGTCTATGTGTTTCATACATATTCTAAAACAGTAATTCAATTATTAAGCGCATAAATTCCGCATTTATGTAATAAAATAATGTAATGGAAACGTACTCTACGAAATAATCCATATTTTGAACATATCTTGTCCAAAGTGAAGTAGGAAAATAGCGCCAAAATGGAAATTTTAGTTCCAAAATTGCTACATTTCGTAACGCGTATTTTGCCGCTTCGATGATTTTTTGGGGCTCTGAATCGGGCGGTAAATTGGGGTCTAAGCACCCCAGGCGTGCATCCAGAGATACCCTTCCTATACCTATAATTAACTTAATGACAACAAAAAGCAAATTTAAGAAATATAGGTATACATTCAAGAGCCCATTTATGAATTTCGTTATCAAAATCGGAAGGCATTTCATTGTCTTCATTTTTCATTTCCATCATCCTTTGAATAAAATAATTCGTAACGTTTTCAATTGGTTCAATATATTTTTTAACAGTCTGTACTTGAAGAATTGGTTTTTGAACAGTACTTCTAAACTTCCTCCAAGGTTCACCGTGTCTGAAAAACTCTTATACAAACTCACTAAATATCAGAAATGGTCAACTTACACCCCTACTACTCCTCCCACATCCCCGAAAAAATCCTTCCTGACCACACTCTTATATCTCACCAAACAAGGCATCGAAGGCCTAAAAGGTGTAGGCCCTTCTTGTCTATAGATTTTTTCAATCTCATTTGCGTCATAAATAAATAATAAATCGGGGCGTCCTACAAGACCTGATAATTTAACTATTTTGCCATACTCCTTGTAAAAAAGTTCTGATAATTTTGCTACGTCCGAAACGTCGTATTGGCCAATGATTGGTAGCAGTCGCCAAGTGTTACCCAAAATTGGTATAGGTTTAGGTCCCGGTATTTCCGAGTAGGGTTTAGCGTCGTTTAGGTTTTCTAAATGTGGGCAAAATGCTGGTGTTACAGATTGAGAGCGACTTCGAGTTATGTTTTTGACGATTTTTGCCGCTTGTGGAAATTTTGAAGTCATTGTTAAGAAAAATTCTAAAAATAAACTCAAATCAAGACGTTATTTTATTTTGATGTGTTTGGAATTTAAACCACCTGACTCACCTATTGATTTAAAATAAATTTTTGTACATACCTTCAGGTTTAATATAAGATATAATAAAAATGCACTCTTACTTTTACTGTTAAAGCATTTTGTCGCGTTTGTTGCTTTGAATGCACTAACCGTTCAAGTGAAAATACTGAAGACATGCGACCTCATTTTCACTGCTTTCTCACTTCTTAGTGGAGTTAAGGTCATCTAGTGTTGTGTCATCGACACTCGGATTTTTGAGTCGACTCCATTTTTGCAAATTGTGGTAACTTCTTGATTTTTTTACCTTGGAGTAGGTACATTATATTATATTAATAAACAATCAGATTTTGAATTTAATTTCTGGTAAGCATTGATTTAAAGTTTTGACCACATATATATTGTGAACGTAAAAATCAACTGAATTCGTCCTTGATATACCTTTTAAAAATTGAAAGGCTTTAAATTGGTAAATTTTACGCTGTTTTATGCAATACAGAGCAAATAATATTCGTGTATTTCACCACTTCTATTTTAAATTAATTATTAAAAATTCATAAATTTATACCTTTCTGTAATAAAAAGAACGCTGTATTTGTTGAAATTAAGTTTTTTTAAACAATATGATTACATATAAAGATTTTATGTGCAAGCTTTACGTAGGTATACACTATTTTATTCCTTGTATTCAAACAACAATAACAAATAATTAAAAGAATGCACATGAACGTTTAACTTTCATTTTCTTTTATTACTTTATAATTTTGTAATAATATATCTTCTCTTATTCATTCAAGGATATTTCATATGTTTAGATTATTTTATTACTATTGATTAAAAAAACAACCATACTATTATTTAAATTCTCAGAAAACCAACACTTCAGCATTGTCCTTAAATAAATATTCACTGAATTGTTTAATTATTTATACTATCAATTATAGTCGTCACCAGGAATATTTGGGATTGACGTATGCAAAGCTTTATTGAGGGTTAAGCAGCTTTGTGGTCGACCGTAATAATTTTTCACTGCGTGTGGTACTACCTAGAAGATGTAGAAAAGAGCCGTATTCAGGAATTTTTGTGGTGGGCTTTTAATTTATTACAGGCAAACATTTGGGAATTTATATATTAATTTAATATTAAAGTGATAATGCAGATTTGTAAAGAAACAATCTCAAAATATAACTGAATATTAAAATTAATTTAATTTTTTTTTTGATGAAAGCCCAAAAACAAATTTCTGTTACGGACCATCTCTTCCTACAAACCTTTGAAACGTGCCTGTCCTAAGAAATGCAAATTTGTTTATGGCATCTCTACCGCAAGCCCCATGAACCACCGTGGGGGGTAAGCGGCTTATTCTATAATGAGTCTCAAATATTGTTGGTGACGACTATACTATCAATAAGTATACTCGTAATATGAATCATTTCTCGAAATAGTCCTTATGATTGTCAGATTTGTCTATTTTAGAAATATCGATATGATTGACATTTAAAAGTCTAATTTGAAAGTTCTAGTTGAAATTTATTTTTGGCGCCGATTTTCCGATACATAAACAATGACTAAATATTAATTTCTTCAGTTTTCTTTGGTTTCGTTTTTTGTTTTCACGTTTTTTTATACATATGGTTCAATAAATTGTTTTTAGGGTCATTTTTTCTCTAGCTGACAGAATAAAAATTTACAAAAATTTAAAATGAGATTAGTTGTAAATAAAAACAGTTTTACATTTTTATGTCAATCGAATAACAAACCGTCCAAAATTCAGTGTCCGGAACTATACCAAGGCGCACAATTGTGACAATTCACTGTAGAGCAAGCAAATTTGACTTTTGATAAGCATATTTTTGTTTTTTATTCAATATTACAAACAAATTTAGTTTTCAAAAATATTGTTAAGTAAAAATTTATTTCATTCTATTATAATTACTAATTTGTAAACATTTTTTGAATTTTTTACTTAAATGTTTAAAAACTGTCAAATGTCACGCTAACATTATCCGTTAGGTACTCTTGTACCATTTAAAAACAAAATTCAAAATTGCCAACTCAAATTCACACTTCAATACGTCATCACTTTTTGAAGAGACTTGATGTATCAGCTTACACTGTTGTAAATTGTTATACTTACAAGAAAACACCAGCTGAAGCATTCTTTCTTTACCATTTTTATACATTTTGAACTAATTTTGGTACGTTAGAAATTTGTAGAAACCTGTAAAATGTTGACGGCCTTAAGATTTGTTTCTCCGCTTTATTGTTTTCAGTTGGCAACACAGTTGCCAGATGTCATTATTATGTCAAGTATTAGGGTGACAGGTTGACAGGTGTGTTCCAATAATAATAATGAATAATTTCGATGTAAATAACATTGATAAGATGTGTAGAGCGTGTCTATCAGGAGAAAATGAGATGATGTCAGTCTTGGATTCGGAATTGAGGGATATGTTTATATTTTGTACATCTCTAGAGGTGAAAATAATTTTTATAGGTTATGCTTGTAACATAACAATGTTTTTTTAGTTTGATACCGATGATAAGTTGCCACAATCAATTTGTAATAAATGCAAAGACCTACTAGTAAATGCTCACACATTCAAAAATATCTGTATCAAATCAAACACTCTTCTAAAGCAACATTTGTTAACTAATTATGAAATTGATGACTTGGATTTAAAACTTGATGATCTCTTTAAAATTGATTTTGACGAGAATTGTGATGAGTCTAAACCTAATTCACCAGAAACAATAAAACCATCAGAACTCAATAATAAAAAAACACGACGCCAGAATAAAAATTTCAAATTTCACTGTGAGACATGTTCAGAGGGTTTTAACTTAGAGGATGATTTGGTTTTGCATAGTATAGCTCATCCTAAAGACGGCATACCGAAATGCACCATTTGTGATAAATTATTCAACACATTAAAAATTCTTAAACGCCACGTTCGTATACATTTTAAGTCTAAACCGTTTGAATGTGACCTTTGCTCACATACTTTCACAGAATCTGGAAGTTTGACAAGGCACTTGAGAAAACATACGGGCGAAAAGCGGCATTTGTGTACCGTTTGTGGTAAAGGTTTTTATGAAGCTAATGTCTTAGCAGTTCATATGAGGACTCACACTGGGGAAAAGCCAATAAAATGTGAAGTTTGCGGTAAAAAATTTGCAGACCCAAATGGATTAAGGAGTCACGTAAAGTCGCATTCAGGCGAGAAAAAATATTCGTGTAAAATATGTAATAAATGTTTCTCACATTCGTTTGTTTTGAAAAAACATTTGAGGATCCACAGTGGCGAAAGACCTTTCTTGTGTACAGTTTGTGGTAAATCATTCACGCAGGTTTTTAACTTTGCTGTTGTAATAATGTATTAAAGCTAAAGGTAATTAATTATTTTAGAGTCACTATGTGTCAGTACATATGAGGCAACATACAGGGGAATTACCGTATGGTTGTACAGTATGTAAAAAACGATTTGTCCAAAACAGCCAACTAGAAATGCATCTGAGGACTCATACAGGCTACAAACCTTACATTTGCAATGTATTAATATGCAAAACATGTTGCAAGTGCGTTGTAATATAATTTTTAGGTGTGTGGTAAAGCTTGCGCCCGATCTGGTGATTTAGTAATTCACATGAGGACCCACACTGGTGAAAAACCATTCACTTGTACAATCTGTTTGAAAAGCTACACGACTTCCAGTCATTTAAAAGTGCACATGAGGACACATAATGGAGAAAGGAGTCATCTTTGCACTTTTTGCGGGAAGAGTTTTACGGAGAATCAAGGTTTAAAAGCCCATATTAGAACACATACTGGCGAAAAACCGTATATTTGTAGAGTATGTGGGCATGGGTTTGCTCAGTCGGGCGCCTTGGCAACTCATAGGAAGATACACAAACTGGAGTCGGGGCTTAAGGCTGATGATGAAATCAAAATTGAAAATAATCCTCTTTATTAAATTTCTTTATTGACTGAAGCTTGTTTTTTGTTTTCCTTTCTCCTGAAGTGAACAAACTGATTATATAATAAAGCGCAAACAAAAATCCGCAATAATTAAACCTAATAAATAACCGGCTACAACAATTAATTTAAGGGCTTTCATAGACGATTTTTATTTTGCATCAAAACATTTATTTTTGCCTTTTGTCGATCGTAAATAAAATAAAAGATTCAATCTAGATACCATTATGAAATACACTAGAGAATTAAAGTCCGATGAGAAAATGTAACAATTGAGGGTTGTGTATAAAAGGATTTATAAAAAAGTAAAGGATATAGACATAAATGTTATTTTAATGGAAAAAAGTGTTGGGATTTACTAAAATACAAATTTATTTTATTTAACCCAGTTATGCGTATTTTCAAAGGCTTTTAAAGGACAAAAATTGAAGAAAATGTTTAAAACGTTTCTTTTCAGCAGAGTTATCAGAGATGAACTCAAAATTTAGGAAATGACTAATTTTTTCTTGATTAATAATGACAACGAATAGTCAAAAAACTACTCAATTTTTTAATTTTAAAGGAGAGTATCCTTTTGACATAGTCGCAGTACTCGTACTGGTTGACTTTTTTAATTTGACTATTAATTGATATTGACAATGAAAAAAATTTGGTGTGAACATCACACGACTTTCCTTATTCTACTTATTTGGAAATAAAATAATAAAAATATTAGCAAACATAACATTTGCGTTAATACTACCTATCGGATTAGACGCGAAATAGATCATAGTTGTCGCGGGTTCGGGTCTGGGGTGCAATTTTTTATTTTATTATACACACACACACACACGACCCAATGGCCCAAACCAATTTTTTGGTGTGGTGTCTTGAAGCTATAATACGTCCAGAAATGTAAAAATATAGGTAGGTCAAATTTCAGCCGATTACAGTACTTTCCTTATAGGATAAGGAAAGTAAAAAAAGTTATAATCAATAATAATGAGGAAAATGCAAAATAAGTTGAATAAAACTTTTTTCTTTTCGGAGATAAGCTTATGAAATTGCAAAAAACTAAAGCAGCCCTTTTTATAAAAAAAAACGAAACTTTAGGGAACTGTCCAAAGTTATTTCCTTCATTTTCAATACATGTTTCAACTTGCCATATTCACTGCTCTCCACAAACACGACCTACCTAAACCAAAATAATTTTGAACAGTTCTGAACAGTTAGTATAAAGTATTTTTTGAAAAAAAAAAACTGTTTTTATATTGTAGCCATGATAACTTGTTTTGTTTTATTTCTGACGTAAAATTGGAAAAACGAAAGTAAAAGAAAACCGGAAATTATTTATGTGCTTGAACACGAAAGAAATACAATAAAGGTGATCACTTGATCAGATAGCTTCACACGTTTCAGAGAACTCTGTCGACTGAGAATAGTTCTTTATAAGAAAATTGCACATTTTTGTAGCGTTTTATATAACGCTAATAAAATCCATAACAAATAGAAATGATCGACGTTTTGCAATTATTCGAAACGAGTTACATAAAACTGAAAAACATTTGATTATTCTGTAACAGAATTGACATTGAATTGAAAATTGCGAAGCTCCGGCAAAAATTAAAATACGCAGCAGGTAAATTATTGTTTTGGAGAAAAATATAAAATGTATAGAACGTCGTTCTTTTATAATCTGCGTTGTGTATTCAAACTCTGTTCAGAGTTATATTAACTTTGAATTCTTTTATTTTATTTTAGACTGAGATTTCTTTAGTAATCGATTTTTTTTCTAGTAGAAACTTAATTATGCAACTTTTGTAAAGTATAAATTTTCTTGTAGAACTAAAAGTACAATAAAGTATTTCAAATGAATATATTAGAATTTATTTACACCCCAACGATTCCTTCTATGATAAAAGAATATCATCGCGTTAAGCACCTCTCGTCTTCATACAATTTGAAAAGAATAATGCCCACAAAGTAAAAATGAAAAGCTGAGTTGTCAATTGTGGAGCGCCTCCAAGTCGTGCGCAAGTTGAAGTACCCTCTCGAGTACTCGAAGTTGCTTGGATGATTTCTTTCAAAAATCTTGTTAGTAGTTGACAATGTGGCCGCCACACTCATTCCAAAAACATTTGTGTGTGATTTTTCTTACTGCAGCCTTAATCGTCTCATTTTCCGTTATAAAAAAACCCAAGACGCAAAATAAATCACTTCAAAACAGCCACAAAACTCCTAGTTTAAAATCAAGATCAGTACATTTAAGGCACGAAATTCGGAATAAAAGTGGCAAAATTCTACATATTCTAGGGTTGTTTGAATTGACAACTAAATGGGGGAGGAGACCGGAGGGATTAAGTGAAATAGCGGCTGCTGAACTTGCCATCAAACACGTAAATCGCTTTAATATACTTCCTGACTATACACTCAAACTAATTATTAACGACACTCAGGTTGGTATTGCGAACATTGAGGAAAAGTTGTAACCGATTTTGTGAGTTTAGTGCGATCCGGGGGTTGGAATCGATCGGTTTTTTCACGCGATTTACTCAAAAAAAACCATTGTTATGTTACTGGGGACGAGTTGCTCGAATGTTACCGAGAGTTTGGCCCACGTTGTGCCTTACTGGAATATTTTGCAGGTAATTTTTCTAGAAATAGGGGTAACATTGTTTACTCGTTTCTAAGGCCTTATTGTTTTTATACAAGTTGTTGGAGAATTTTATTTTAGGTCTCCTTTGGGTCTACATCACCCACTTTGAGCGACCGCAAAAAATTCCCTCTATTTTTCCGCACTGTAGCTCCTGACTCGTCCCACAACTCGGCTAAAGTCACTTTTGTGAAATATTTTGGATGGAGAGTCATCGCAACGTTTTGTCAAAGTGAAAATAAATTTCTCCTCCCTCTCAACAATCTTATAACGGATTTTGAAAACGAGAACATATCTTGTGTTACGACAATTACGTTTTCTTTGGACAATTATAAAGAGCAGCTAAAAATTTTGAAAAATTCCGACATTCACATAATTATTGCGGCCTTATCGAGCGAAATCGCGCCTGCGATTTTTTGCGAAATTTATAGTTTGGGAATGTACGGCCCTGATTATGTTTGGATTCTTCAAGACAGGCAAGATATTTGGTGGAATATAACAACGAAATGCTCGTCTCTGAAATTGAGCAAATCGGTGGAGGGAATAATTTTGGTTTCAGATTACAATGTTGTTGGGGAAAATAATACAGCAATTTCAGGGCTGGTAACAAAAATTTGGAACAAAATAAGCAAATTTTGTGTGAGTTTTGTAGGATAATGCCCGTTTTGAGTCAGAATTAAACGTTTCAAAAATTTCCAAATACGCGAGTTTGACTTATGACGCCGTTTGGGCCATGGCTTTGAGTCTGAAGGACGTGCTAGATTTCGGGCAAGAATTTAATTACCGGCGAAGCGACATTGTTTGTGAATTTGTGCTCCGGATGAGCTCTTTGAATTTCATGGGCATATCAGTAAGCACTTATTAATTTAAAATGACACATTTAGCAAGCTGCAAACATTTCAGGGTCCGTTGAAGTTTATTGGAGCTGATCGTGTTGGAAGTTCCGTTTTGCGTCAGATCCAAGGTAAATTGTTGCCTCTCTAAAATGTTTTTAATAGGATTAAAAATTTCAGATGGGCATGTTAGAGACATTGCTCTATTTAATTCCGACACCGGAGAGCTCGATTTCGAATGCAAAGCTTGCTACCGCGTTAGTTGGTGGAACACACAAACACCCATTGCGCAAAGAATATTAAAACTGTCACTAATTACCATTCCAAAGTCTCTGTTACTTTTCATAATTTTTATTTCGAGCATGGGAATTTTATTCGCAGTTTTGTTTCTCTATTTTAATTTACATTTCAGGCGGATGAAGAGTGTCAAATTATCAAGTCCGAAATTGAATAATGTGGCGGTCGTGGGATGTATTTTAGTCTACCTTTCAGTCATCCTTTTGGGGTTTGACACATCCACAGTGAATAAATATGTTGACGAACTTTGCACGGTAAGGCCCGGGGATTAATTAGACAAATATGCTTTGTAGTCAAAAAGTTTTGGGATTTTGAGGGTGGCAGACAACTTTTTATCGTTTATGTTCTACTTGACAACGCTTTTAATTTAAATTTGTTTTATTTGCAAATATTACCAAAAAACAGGATTTACATCAAATTTTTATGCCGGCACCTCCACCAATTTGTTCGTCTGCATTTTTCCATTATTTCGAATAAAATATTTATCCATTATCAAGTCTCTGATGAGTACATTTTACATTTCATGTTTTGTAATAAACAAATCACTGTCTAGGCAAAAGGTATTTAAAGTAACAAAAAGAATGTTAATAATCTGTGTACTTTATAAATTCACGAGATATAAAAATTGTAATACAAGTTTCACCTTATTTAAATTAAATTCTATATTCGTTTTAATTCAGTATTTATCTTATTGCGCTCCAATGCTTTATTTTACTTACAATCAATAAAACAGTACAATATTAATTAATGTAGGTAAGTAATAACGGTTTTGTGAAAAGTGTGCAGTTAAGTGCGATTTTTAAAGTTGGTTAGCCTGATAATAAACTAACTAAAAATCAATCTGTCAAAAAGTTACAACATCTGAAATTCAATTAAAAGTTTGATCACTTTAATTTCTTATTACATGGCTCTGATTACAAAACAGAATCATTAAATCATAATTTAAGCAAAATTTACGGCATCATATTTTATGTAACTTGAGCTTTTAAAATGAAATTAATTTCTTTTATTATTTAATTAGTGTTGATGCAGCTAGAATTGTAGTAAAAGCCCGAAGCCCAGCAAAGTTTTTAATATAGTGAAAACACGATATTCGCATTTTTTAATAAAAAACATTTTTAGGTCCAAGTCTATTTGCTCTCGGCTGGATTTTCATTAGTATTCGGTTCGATGTTTGCTAAAACATATCGTGTCCACCGCATTTTTACCCACTCCGGGGGTCCGAGCAAAGTCAAAGATAAATTACTCAAAGACAAGCAGCTCATTGTTTTGATTTTAATTCCTTTAATAATCGATGCAATTATTCTGGCACTGTGGGTAATGATCGACCCTTTGGAACGACAATTATACAATTTAACTTTAGAAATTAATTCCGAAGAGCGTGGAGTTGTTTATCAACCGCAAGTAATTTTAAATCAATCAATATATTTCAAAAGAAACCGCATAATAATAATTTTGCAGGTGCAAGTATGTCGGTCGCAGAACACAACTGGCTGGTTTATTGCTGTTTACGGTTATAAAGGGTTGATTCTAATTATGGGTGTTTTTATGGCTTGGGAGACGCGACATGTCAAGGTGCAAGAACTGAATGACTCGCAATATATTGGAATTTGCGTCTACAGTGCTGTTTTCAGTGCAATAATCACAGTTTTGACGAGTTTTGTAAGCGAATACGTGATATTTAGTTATTTAGCCCGAACTATAAGTATATTAACATCGACAACATTGACACTGTTTTTGCTATTCTCACCCAAACTCAAATCGGTTTTTGGACGCTACAATTCACAGGATCCGATTATGCAAAGTATGGGATTAAAAATCGAGTACAATACAAGGCGATTTATCAAAAATGACCCCAAAGAACAAATCCTTCGTCTAGAAATACAAAATAAAGTATACAAGTGCGAATTAGCAGCGCTCGATTTAGAAATCACTCGTCTGGAAGGACTTTTACAATTAAGTCGACGGTCCAGTGAAGGAGGAATATTTACCATCTACAAGGACGATCGTGATAATCCTGAAATTTGCTTCAGAAAAGAGGAGTGGGCCTTGTGGCCGTCACAGTTTTCCGAAACTCATCAAGAATTCACATCAGAGAATAAATTGAACAATGAGAATCAACACAACTCTTTAATTAATGAAATGAAATGCTTTTTTAATAAAAACATGCTAATTAGCCCCACTATAAGAAACGAATTTTCTAACAATGATTTTTTGAAACTTGATGTGGTAGAGCAGAGGCATAAGTCCAATCCGGAGTTTTTTTATGAAACGTCAACTTTGAAAGAAAAGAATTTGGCACGGGCCAAGTCCGAGCTTAATGTTACGCTTTTGCGGAGTTTCAGATAAATTATTATTGTCTGTATTGGACAGTAGAAAAATTAAAATAAAATATCTATAGTGATCCCATTTTGTTTGTTTTTTAACCTTTCCAGTAAATGCCAGTTTAACACCCGTCCATATTTGTGATTTGCTGATGTCAATCGTTTGTTTTCATCAATTTAAGTGCTTCTTTTTTCAAATATTGAATGCCCACGTGAAAGAAAAATACGTATCGATCATCGCTACCTTTATAACTCATGTGTTTAAATAATTTTGTCACAGATGTGAAACAAAAGTTTAATTATCACTTGAAATACGAAGCCACAACTTCGGTAATTATTTCTCATCTGAAATGAAAAATAACACGCTAGAAGCCTACGCCTGATAAAGGGTCAATGAAGATTAATTATGAAAATTATTTTACCAAATGATACCACGTATTTCTTAATTTTTAAGCTGTTTCGTGCTTTAATTAGTTTAAAGCACAGGCTTGTTCAAAGTATTAAAGTTTGCTAAATTTAAATTTAAAAAATTGGGCTAATTATAAAAAAGTCTAAGGAAGCTTTTTAGATTAAATTGTTCTGAAAGTGATTTTATGAAAGCTGATAAAATTTTCATATAATTCATAATTGGAAAAATAATCAATGAAATTTTATTAACTGCAAATTAAGGCCAATATATTGATTGGCTTTTTGTTTTGTTACATTATGGAACATTTGAACTATTTAAAATAGCTAAAATTGACCTTCAAACAGGACAAGAGCTGTGTCGAGAAGGATGTTCTAATGGAGAATGGAGAAGATAACAGATGATAAAATTAGATTTTCGTTCTTTTCTCTGGACATTTAAGATCTTTTATTAAAATTAAATTTCATTTAGTGAAAAATGAAGATTAAAATTCGACATTTGAACAAAAATATTTGCGAACATTGAATTAACTGATGGGACATAAAACCTTTTTGTATCATAAATATGTAGTTGAAACATTTTCTTCTTTTTTATTGGTTGTAATAATCATAAATGTGAATTTTAAAATTAGTGAGGCGAAATTTAATTTTATTGCAATGTTTCTGGAATGAATACTTTTTATGATTATAAAACAAAGATTTAATTAAACAATTAATGCAAACAAATTCCTAATGAACCGATCATTTTCGTAAAAATACGTTTACCCTTCAACATTGACTATATCTAGATTCTGTTTTTAATTTAATTCAATTAACCGTAAAAAAATGCTGGCAATTTTCTTCACACTTATTTCTCGATGTGTTTACCTTTCTTTTGTCAACTCACTTTACCTTATTTCTAGCTGAAAGTAATAAAAATTCCACTTTGGACCTAATGAAAAGCTACTACCGTATCGGCTAAAGTGATTAATTTTTTTTTGTCTTGTACATGTTGTAATTTGTATTTACTTAAGATAAGATTATTTAAACTAGGGAAATTCAGTCTGGTATTGTATTCTTTTATGAATTAAAAGTTTTAAAAAAAGATCTCACAGGAATATTAAGCCAATCCCGGCCGCAGTCATCACAATTTTATAACCCCTCCTCGGGGAGAATTTTTAAGTGACCAATCACAGAATTAATTTGAAAAAAGGTTATTTAGGGTGCTAAAAACATTTCTCTCGATTTGCGTCCTACAGAGAGTTTCATAACAGGACTTGCAATCAAAGTTCGAATATTCAAAAGCTCACTATTTCATGTTGTTCATTTCATCTTGCAATTAGCAAGAAGTACAATGAAATCGCAACACATTGCAACTTTCGGTTATCAGAGAGATGTGTAGATCATTACCGGATCAACACAATGGAGGAGCAGTTTCAGTAAGTAGCCAGGCGTGCAACTGGAACGACGACACTCTGAAAACATGAATTTCACGCTGTTTTCATGAATTTTCAAACCGCTGGATTTTTCGTACAATGGATACACACAAATAGCAGTGATAAGGGGTGAGTTAGGTGTTATACTAATTAACAACAATTTATTCACATATGTAAGAAATTTTTTTTCGAAAAAACAATCACAAATTTGAATCATCTTTCTCTTAAATTTTATTGATGACACTAAACTTAAAATATTTGTTCGCTTTTTTAGAGTTTTTAAATTCTTATCACTTCTTGTTGTTTTTAAACTAAGAAAGAGTAATATAACAGTAATTATAATAATACGGTATTTAGATAAAGAGATCTGGCGCTTTGAGTTGATGACAATTGCATTATTTAGGTGATATTTACAAAGTTTATTATTGTACTTCACAAAATGCTATCGTGAAGAGTTCGAGCTAAAATTTTTGAAAAAATTTTCAGTAAACATTGAAATCTGGATAATGGAAGACGATACAAGAGTAATGTGCATGAATAACTCCAGCAGTTTGGACACCTACGTCCAGTGTTACAGAGGTGCTCAACAACAACCTCTTGAAATGGCAATCCCTTTAACAGTCGTAAATGTGTTAATATTTGTATCGGGTTTTTTTGGAAACATCGCTGTTTGCATCGTTATCATCAAACATCGCTCCCTACACACCGCTACCAATTATTACCTGTTTAATTTAGCCATCAGCGATTTAACTCTTTTGATATTCGGTGAGTAGAATTTTCCAAACGACGCAAGCAAATTATGTGATTGAATTTCAAGATTTCAAGTAACGAATTAATTAGTTTGAGTTATGGCTTAATCAATTTTGCGATTTTTTAGGGCTACCAAATGACGTGATGCTTTACTGGCACCAATATCCATGGCCTTTCGGGATCGAATTTTGCAAGTTCAGGGCTCTTCTTTCGGAAATGTATGTAAAAAAAAATGGGGGAGTGCATTTTTGTTATTTGTGGGTTTTAGGGCTTCCTACGTTTCAGTCCTCACAATCGTAGCATTTTCCACCGAGCGCTATTTGGCGATTTGTTACCCTTTATATCTCCATACGATGTCGGGCTTACAAAGGGCAATACGGATTATAGCTTGTCTTTGGCTGTGCGCATTTGTCAGCGCTTTGCCCTTCTGCATCAACACGCGAGTCCATTATTTGTTTTACCCTCCAAATTCGACAAATATTTTGCCGGTAGATTCCCCAAATCTAATAAAAGTTTACCCCAACTTTATTATTACAGGACAGTGCGTTTTGCGGAATGCTGTACCAACCTGAAGGAATTCCCTTGACCGAATTAAGCACTTTGATATTTTTCATCATTCCGATGCTTGCCATTGCAGTCCAGTACACAAAAATGGGTCTTGAAATCGCGAAAACGACGAGAAAGACGCTGGGTCACGGGTTGCGAGGGTCGGTTCATAGAGACAGTAGGAAGACTCAATCAAACCGCAGCGTAATCAAAATGTTAAGTAAGTGAAAATCGGTTAAATACGATTATCTGGAATTGTTTTCAGGTGCTGTGGTAATTGCGTTTTTCCTATGTTGGGCCCCATTTCACGCACAGCGTCTTTTGGTGATTTATGGGCCGGATTATTCGGAAGCCAATACTTATATGTTTTTCATCACCGGAATTCTTTATTATTTCTCGTCGACTTTAAATCCGATTTTGTATAATGTCATGTCAGATCGAATGCGCAGTGCATTTAAAGAAGTTTTGTGTGGCGTTAAGCCGAAAAAGAATAAAAGACACTCCGTGCTTGGAGATGTCTATTCGCGTTCTTACAATATAAGAATACAGAAATCTCCCAGTCGAATGGAAACTATTATAGACGAAATCGATGAAGATAAGGTTAATTTGGTGAATAAAGAAATTGTTTCAGTTTCGATACCTGAAAATGGAAGCACGCTAATCTACGAAATTCATTACAAAACCAAAGAAGAAGATACCTGTAACAACGAAACGCCAATATAATGAAGAAAACAGTTTTCAAATATTTTTTAAAAGACTGATTTAGATAGATGTAAAATATTTGTATTTATGTGCTCTTAACATTTTTTTTTCACAAACAATTCCCAATCGCTATTGTCTCTTATTGTAATAATGTGATGAATGTTCATTCTACAACCAAATTAAATTTAAGATATTTTTCTGTGATTATGTCATCAATATTATACATGTAAAAAAGGAATCATTGTTTTCTTTCTTAAGAAAATCTGTAACAGGAGATCTTTTTATAATTAGGTAAGTATTTCATCGATATGTCATGTTTAAAGTCATTATTTCTCTACCAAAGAAACTTTAAAACTTTTAAACTCGAAACCAGATACAACTAATTATAATGAAAATGAATCTTCTTAGGTTGTTTTTGCAACAGCTGAGATTACTTGTTTTAAGTATTTCAAACTAGGGATGATTAAATAATTAATTAATTTTTCAAAAAAAAATATATTAATATTTATACCTATTCGCATTTTTTTTGTTATTGATGTAAACCAGAATATTAATTAATTAAATTCCTTTGTGCATCCAAATCAAACGAAATTCTAAATATTCCCAAGGATAATACGTACTTTACAAAAGCTTTAGTCTTGACTCGAAATTATTGATCGAATATTGATATTAGGATTATTAATAGTAAAGAGCACTTTCTTTGAGCCATATACGCAACAACGTTCATTTTTTATTATTAACTAATCTTGGCAGATAAAAGAAGAGTATGCTACTTTAGTAAAAAATGAGTAAAAGGAAAATAAATTTCACAAAACTGGTTTAGGAAAAAATGATATCGGGAATGCAAAATTTGTTCAAAGGTGTAACAATAAAGAATGAAAAAATTCAAGTCAGAAAAATAGTTAACACTAAAATTAAAAAATTGTTGTGGTGTAAGATTTTTATTCACTTTTGCATAAAATTGTGCTATAGGGGCCAATCTGGATGATCTTTCAAACTGAAAAAAGCAATTATTAAAATAGAATCATTTTTATTAAGAAAAACTTACTCAAATCCCATATTAAAATCATGAACTCTGCCTTTTTCCCCAGCTTCTAAATTCCACAATTCTTTAAATTCATTTTCATCAAGACTGAAATCAAACACATTTATATTTTCTTGAATCCTTTTAGGTGTAACACTTTTAGGTATGGCTGCTATTCCCCTTTGTAACAAAAACCTTAAAACGATTTGAGCTGGTGTTTTTGAGTGTTTTTTGGCAATTTTATTAACGACCGGGTCACCAAGTATGTCAGGGAGTTTTTTGGATCTGTAATAATTATTATAAAAAGTTGTGTTATCCACAGAAAACACCAATTGATTACTCTCTTCCCATTGCTTGTAAAACTTTGTTATAACTAGGAGCAGCTAGTGGTGAATAGGCAACTACAGTAATGCCATTCTTTTGACAAAAATCAACAAGTTCTCTTTGTTGAAAGTAAACGTGAATCTCGACTTGCAAATTTGCTGGTTTTATTCTGGCAGATTTTAAAATTGTCTCGATTTGTGAAATACTGTAATTTGAGAGTCCGATGGTTTTAACCCGACCGGCATCCACTTGTTCTTCTAATTGCTTAATGAAGAAATAATATTATTACTCGAGTTATTTTAAATTAAAATTTACCTTCCATACGGCGACATGGTCTGTTTTACCTTCTGGTACCAATTGTCGTTTGTCATTAACAACTGGACGTCCTGTACTAGTATCAAATTTGAACCCAATAGGAAAATGTATTAAATACAAGTCAACATAATCAAGTTGCAAATTTTCGAGTGACTTTTTCAGGAAATACTCAACCCGGTCTGGCTTCAATCCAAACATAGGAAGTTTCGTCGTAATAAAAAGATCTTCCCGTTTCAGCTTTCCGGAATTGAACCATTGTTTTAAAACATCACCAATGATTTTTTCATTTTCGTAAATATAAGCAGTGTCGATGTGGCGGTAGCCAAGTTCGAGGGCTGTATTTAAAGCAGATTCGAGCTCGCCTTTGTCCTTTGCCTAAAATAATGAATAAAAAAAACAGTTGAATAAAAAAATAAAACATTCAATAAATGTTAGTTAGTGTAAAGAGATTTTCGTAACTTCTTTTTTAACTATTTACCTGCCAAGTTCCAAGTCCAAGGACTGGCATTTTCAAGCCCCTCGGCAGATTTAAAAACATTGCTGTTGCCATTCTAAAAATAGGCACTTTGTATATACTACACTATTATTATATTACACAATTTTCTATACAGTGTCTTATTTATACAGTTTCAATTATCTGATTATCTCGATTTTTTGTATATTCAAGTGTTTTATTTATTTACTTTAGGTAGTTTCAATATTGTGCAACTCACCGATGAAACGACAAACTCACTTATTCATATTAGTTATTTAGGTTTTAAAATCGATAACACATGAAACTACACTACTCTTTCTACACATTTTTTTTACTTTGTTTCATTTAAGTATACGGTTTGAATTTATCTAGATTTTGTATGTACTCATCAAGGTTCTTTGTTTTGTTTTATTTAATTAGGATGTTAAAATATTGCGCAACTCACCGATGAAATGATAAAATTACTTAATTTTTTTACTGTTATATACTTTTTTATTTGTTATATACTTGTTATACACTTAGGTTTTCGAATCGATAACGATAACACATGAAACTCATACGTCGGAACTACATATAGATTAATGGTAAGAATCAATTTTAAATTTTTACATTTAGAATAGATAAAAGACTTTCTTAATTTAAAATTTATAAAATATTAATTACATTACTAAAACCTTTATTAAAGTTATAAGCAATAAAAGCAATTTTCTTATTATTTCTTATTAAAATTATTTTTGGATAAGATATTTATTAAATTATAATGTCTAATCTGCTTGCATGAATAATAGAAACAATAAAAATTAAAATAAAACACGCGTGCCTTTTTAGAATAGAGTTGCTAACGTTGATAATAGTAAAAAAAATATTGTGGTGCATACAAGTTTTATTCATCTTTTAATTGCAATAACAGTGGATTTGTTATAAAATTACTGTAAATTCTTAGCGTTTCATCGGAAAGTCTGGATGGTCCTCAATACTGAAAAAAAAAACAATTAGTTCTAACTCTTAAAATATAAATACACTAAGGGCATACTTAAACAATCTAAAGTCACAAACTCTGGCATCTTCACCAACTTCCAAATTCCACATTTCCTTAAATTCATTATCATCGAGTTTGAAATCAAATATGTTTATATTTTCTTGAAGCCTTTTTGGGGTAACACTTTTCGGTATTGCAGCGATTCCTCTTTGCAACAAAAATCTCAGTACAACCTGAGCTGGCGTTTTTGAGTGTTTTTTTGCTATTTTATTGACGACAGGATCGGAAAGTATTTCAGGCAGCTTTTTCGGCCTGTAATAAAATCATAAAAAACTGTTTATTGTATGTTAACTTTTCTTACTCTTTTCCTAATCCTTGTAAAAATTTGTTGTAACCTGGTGAAGCCAATGGTGAATAGGCAACTACAGTAATATCATTTTTGTGGCAAAAATCAACAAGTGCCCTTTGTTGCAAATAAACGTGAAGTTCGACTTGTAAATTTGCGGGTTTAATTCTAGCAGATTTTAAAACTGTTTCGATTTGTGAAATGTTGTAATTTGAAAGACCGATGGTTTTGGTCCGGCCGGCATCAACTTGTTCTTCCATTTTCTAAACAAAAAATTATTTATTTATTTAAAATCTTATGTATTGCAAATTACCTTCCAAACAGCAGCATGATCTGTTTTACCTTCCGTTACCATTTGCTGTTTGTCATTAAGTAGAGGACGACCTGTACTACTATCATATTTAAATCCAATAGGAAAATGTATCAAATACAAGTCAACATAATCAATTTGTAAATTTTCCAACGATTTTTTCATGAAAAATTCAACCCGGTCAGGATGCACACCATACATGGGAAGTTTTGTTGTAATAAATAGATCTTCCCGTTTCAATTTACCGGAAGTGAACCATTGTTTTAACACATCACCGATGATTTTTTCATTTTCATAAACAAAAGCAGTGTCGATGTGTCGATAGCCAACTTCGAGAGCCGAGTTTAGAGCATTTACAAGCTCATTTTTATCTTTTGCCTAAAATAATACATTATGTAGTAAACTATTAACAAAATTAAAATAATAAAGAAATTCTTAAATAAAAAAAAGAGTACACACATAATTTTCGATATGCTTAAATAAACACTTATGAGAAAAGCAATCAATGATGTCAGACGAAGTACTTACTTATCAGTGTAGTAAATAAATAAGAATTTTTCAAAAAAAAAGTGTTATCCAATTTAAAGACATTTATTAATCGCTGACTATTTACATCAATCAATATAGATACAAAATTGTTTAAATTTTAGATTTAATAATAAAAATGTCGTACCTTCATAAACCACGGTCATTTACATACAATTAATTAAAAAAAATGTACATACCTATAACTTTGTAATTTGGTAATTCATTATTATGCGTAAATAAATGCGTAGATAATTTGAAAAAAATAATTCACTTACTTGCCAAGTGCCAAGTCCAAGAGCCGGCATCTTCAAGCCTCCGGGCAAAGTTACGAACATTTTTGATGCCATTTTAACAAACAATATATTCTCATAATACTTTGATGTGCGACTGTACAGAACCACTTTAAGAATATTACATTTTTGTGTAGCGGTTTTTATTTTTATAGTTTTAATCATGTGAATTTTGCGCAAACTCGACGTTCCACATAAGTGAGTCCTAATCATAAGATGACACGACAAAACTACATACTTACTCTTTTCTACAAAAGATAACGGTAAATTCCGAACTCGGTTTCGGTCTCATATAACATGTAAAACTTAGTAATCGTGTTAGAAAAATAAAAAGATCTAGGATTTGATCAGTGATACATTTGTATTTGAATACAAGATCAGATAAAAAGTTCTTATTTATCACGTTTTCTTAAAATATATACATATAAAATATGATATGTCATTGCAATTGATATTAATTATGTAAGATTGTGCAATCTTTGAAATTTGGAAAAAAATCATTTCTACTTTGTCTTCAAAAATCTGAAATGATTTCACCAAATTATTATTTTTTGATATTAATAAAAACCTTTGCATATTAATTTTAAACGAAGTACCTATTCGATCATCATATTGGTCTTATTTCTTTTAAATATAGCTGGAGACAAAATACTTTGGTCGTCACTTTTCTGATACGTTAATGTAATTCAAGCTTTAACGTTAAAATGAATGTCAATTTTAAATTAATGACAGCTATTATTTTTTCCTATCAAAAATATGTACATACAACTATAATTGACAGTAGCTAAAAATAAGGTTAACAGTCCTAAAGCATGCTTTACAATTTAATGTCCATAGATGAACTGTTAATGTCACTCAAGTGACATTGACGACCAAACTATTTTGTCTCCAACTGTACAGGGTGCTGCATTTTGGATGTCCGAATAGGGAATCTCCGAAACTAAGAGGTTTAGCCAAAAACGAGTGATACATTCTGGGGCTCGTTTTTTGAGAAAATAATATTGGTTAAAACCGCATCCCGCTATCGTCTTTTGTTTTCGACTTATAGACAAAAATTGACATTTTAGTGAAATCTGAAAAAATTCATATCTTCGTTATTATAGAAGATACGCATTTGAAAAAAAGACACTTTTTTACGAGGAATTTAATAATGTAGTTAACAATTTTTTTCAGTTATTAGTTTAGCCGTAATAAGATAAACTTGTATTTTTATGTGTTTCACTTTTTAAGTATAGTTAAAAAAATATTTTGTTACAAATATATATTCTTTAGATCAGAAAAAAATAAGCTTTTCAAAATTGCCATAGCCGCCTATGATTTCCATTTATATTTTGTGTGATAATAGTTGGCCATGGAAAAACTATTTCACTCCAAATGTGTAAATAATAATCAATAAGAGTTTTGTGAACTGTAAAATAGATGAAAAAATAGATAAAATTATAAAGATTTAAGAAATACGATGCGGTAGAAGTATTGAACAAATATCCCAGCGCCTCAGAATAAAATTATTACATATTTTTGAAAAATCAAAAAATAGGAAAAACAAATGTGTCAACAGTCAACACAATTACAAAATAGTTATTTACATTCGTGTGCGGTAACTTACATTTTACAGTGCGAAATGAATTTGAAGCACGACGCGCAGCGGAGTGCTTTAATAATTYAGCACTGTAAAATGGTTAACGCACAAGATTTGTATTAAGCTTTTTGGCCGACGTTTAAACAAAAATCTACAAAATTCAGAATTAATACAAGTAAA